AACTCACAAAACTCAATCAATTCTTATTTCATATTCAACTGAATAAAACAATAGATGAGGGAGCCATTTAAATAAGACTCCTAAACATTATTCTTAACTTGTCCAACAAGACAAGATCTCTAATATTTAATTCCTAACTTATTCTCCAAGATAATAATAATAATAATAATAATAATAATAATAATAATAATAATAATAATAATAATAATAATAATAATAATAATAATAATAATACTATTCTACACCACAAACTCAATTAGTTTTTTTTATATGAGCTCGTGCAAATATACAAGCTAGTCAAACTTAAGATTTTACATGTCAATCAAACGAGACAACTCGATTCAAAGAACATCAGTAATTTTGCAGTCCCAGGTGAAAAAAAATTCTGGCTACGCCCCTGGTCTAGGTGGCAGATTCTCACGCTTCGGATGCTGACATGATAAAAATATATGCTTCGTGATGTTGTTTTTATATTATTTTTTGTTAGAGTTAGATTTTTGGTATTAAACATAAATAACTTTACATATATATTCATAAACTCAACACTTATGTTGTACACGGATTATCTCGGCCGTCGCCGGACAGACGGCGAGTTGCCCGATTTGATGTATTTGTCGATTCTTTTTCCTTTATGGAAAATAAAAATATCCTCACACAAAACAATCCCAGAGTTTCGAAATCTCTCCCCTTTTGTAACTGAAAAGTATGATAAATAAATCCATTTAATTTAATTGGTACATATAATAACATAATAAATGTACACGCGTCCGTCTCCTGCTATTCTCAATCGCTTCGAATCCGAAATTATCGAAAACATATAAATATAAGTCCCAACTTTGGTTCCCCAAATGGTATCAAAAAAACCCGATGCCAAATAAGTGAATAACAGTTATCTGTAGTACTGATCCCAATCACCAAACCGTAGACAATGGGCGGAGTCGCGACGAGGGCTGCACCGACCGACTTTTGAAGAAGCCCAAGGGGATACTACTACTGAACTTGCGTTGCCGCTTAAGAAGTATGTCTGTCTTCAATTATTCTTTGGTGTTCATAATTGTTATTTTTAATTTGGTACCACATGGATTGGATTCTAATGTGTTGTTACATGATGATGTTACACATTTCTTGCTGAAAAAATTTCAGTTATTATCTGTCGCCACTCGATTCGGTTGGTGCTCGATCGCTCATTGGTAACTCGAGCTCTACCAGTGAGTTATGCATTGCACCTCCAATGCCAATCAATGCTAACAAGGCCTTCAGGCTTCTATGTGAAAGCTCAGCAGCCCAGGTTTTTAGCCTACTTTACATAAATGTAGAGTATTAGTTAAAGTGGTTAATTTAGACCTTCTTTTCTTGACAGGGACATGAAGTAGCTCCATTTTCTTCTATTATTCTGTACTATCATGTGAAAGCTATTTTGGAGGCAAAAATAATGCTGACATGAAAGATTAGCTAATATATAGCTACCCATTACTCTTTATGATTTTAACATGAGAGTATCTCAATTATTTTTCAGAATGTTGTGGCTTCACTCGCCAGTGATCCAACTGTGTGGAATGCTGTGGTAAGAAGCAACTGGACGATTGAAGACATGTTTCCGTCAAAAAGGACCTGTAAGACTCTTATAGACCCCTCATGTTTTAGTGTAATGAAAACGCAGTTTCCAAATCGAGCACCCTAATTTTTTTCTTTTTTTTTTTTTGTTATTTGAACTTTTTATGCAGGTTTTGCCGACACAGACGAGAATCTGTCTGGAGATATCTCTGATGTTGCATCCGAGAGTGGAGAAACCAAGCCAGTTATTGCATCAATGGATATTGTTCAAAAGCTCAAACTTGCGTCGAGCCTGAGTTGCGCGGAGATCGGGCCCGAGACAACCCCCAGCCCGCCTTGTGGTCGATTCTCGGTCCGATTACAGAACATTTTGTATAAGATAATAATCATATTGTTAGGAAGTAATTATGATAAATAGATTGTAAGCGGGAGTTAAATAATTATATAGTTTGAGAATTTGTTTTTTTATTATCAAGTTAATAAGCAATATATAAATTGTAATCGTAGTGTTTTGTTACTTACTTTCTTTAGCGCAAGAAATTTGAGTCAAAGATTCAAAACAAGAGATGTCTAAAAATTTTAATGCATTCTGTACCCCAAAAAAAAAAAAAAAAAATTAATGCATAAATGAAAAATAAGAACACGTCGGGCTCGAACTTCGAGGAATCGCTGAAACTCCAGCCCGTGCAACGATGCCCCTGCTGGTCGTCGAAACCTGCGGTTGCGCGGCGATGGACGAAGCCAGGGGCCTTCAGGCCCAAAATATGGATGCGAAAATTGGTAAACAAAACACTCCTCCGTCCGTCGTTGGATGCGAAATCGAATCGCAATTAGGGTTTCTTCGTCGTCGCGGTCGCCACCATGTACGAAACGACCTCTAGCCCGCCGCTGCTCTCGAACTCGGGGCTGACCTGGTTTCGTTTCCTTGCCATGGTGGTCGATCTGCCAACGGGTTAGCCGACCAGGTAAAGTCGCCATCCTCGATGCCGTTTAGCGGTGGCGGGAACAGCTGCTGGGGTGCCCCGACATGGTTGCGTCCCCCACAACTGCCTTTGTCTCCCTGCAAAATCCACGACCCACAGCTCAATCACGGTTCATTTGCAATTCTGAAAAAACCATGTTGTTAAACGTCAAATGCAAATCCTCAATCTCCGTCGAAAGATCGACAAACCAATCCGTAAAATGCACGTCCAACTCTTCAAATCGGTAGTCAATCTGTTGAAACCGTTCGTAGAAGATTACATCACGTTGTTCGTTTGTGGCATATTATCGTCCCAGCGACATCGCGAATCGTACTGACTGCTGATACCAACTGATGTAGGGAACGCGTAGGAGTTGGAAGGATAAAAGAGATACTCTTTCTCGAGGTATGTGTATAGTGAGTTTATATCATTATGGATTCAACTCAAAAGTGAAGAACGGTAAAGTCTCAAAAATCTTGTTACAAAAGATTAAGTTTGTAAAACTAGTTTTGTTAGTACGAAAAAGCATATGAATACAACTTAGTATGTTGTTCTATAAATTTTCAAAATGAATCGTATAGCTAATGACGTATAAGATTTTTAATCAAACCCCAACGCCTTATCTGTCAGTTGCAATAGTAAAATCATTTACTGATGTGTGGAACTTTTTTTTTTTAAAATAGCGAGTAATTCATTATAATCAGATATCTCAGAAATTTTTTGAAAAATTAGTTTATCAATAAATAGAATGATATTTTAGAGTTTTTGTAATAATTTTCTTCATCCAGTCAAACCATTTTTTGTTCTCGGTGGTCCTAAACTGGTAAGTTTTTCTCTCAAAATATCAATATTGTAACACAATTAGTAAAAGAAATGAGGAATAAAAAGAAAAATCAATTTGTTGTATGGAAGGATTGTCATCACTTTCTTTGATAGTCTTTTAATGATTGGAAAATCTTATGGGATAGAAGTGAAAAGTATAACACATTTTCATAACACTTCAGCCACAGTCGTCAAGGATTCCACAAGGTCGATGTTAACCCATTCTATTTATGACTCTATAATGGACATGATGAACAACAACAATGCTTTTATTGTTATTCTAAATGGTTATGAAACACAAATGACAATGTTTAAAATTGTTTCGTGGGCAAAATTGAAACTCCATAACATGCCCATAATGTTCTAATAGCACATGCAAATATGATAGTGGTGTTGATTTTCTCATGACTTGCATACGTCAGAGTTCTTAAATATATAAAATATCTCTGATGTTCCAAATCATGAATTGCAGATAAATATTGGTCATTCAATTGAGCTGTGTAATGAAACATTTTTGGTGATTATGAAGCTTGCCTCTCACGTGCTTGAACGTACGATTTTAACAGGATCAAATGTTTGACATAGGTATTAGTACCAAGAATTATCAAACTCCATTTGTTCTCAAGATACCTTATGATATCTTCTGCAATGACAATCAGTAAGAGCAACAAAAATCGTTATCACATGTCGTACTTTACTTGAAAAGACTGATGTTTAGCCATGGTCAATTATAAAATATCCTCATGTATTTAGAAAATGCAATCTTCTTGATACCTATCCAAATCAAGAGTTCCCGAATTTTACACCTCTTTTCTTATCAAATACACTCTCTCTCTCCTATTGTAACTGAAAGTGTGATATTAAATTCTTTTAATTGATACATTTTATTTGGAATAACAATTTTTTTAGCTCAAACATAACATAATAAATGTACACGCGTCAGTCTCCTGCTATTCTCAATCGCTTCGAATCCGACATTCTCGCTCTCCCCAAAACAAATTATATAAATAAATCCCAACTTTGATTCATAAATGGTATCAAAATATCCGGCGCCAAATCTCTACTTATCTGTACTGATCGCCAGAGATAAAAAGTCGATCCCTATCCACCATCGCCCTTCATTCCAAATTCCCCCCAATCACCAAACCCTAGACCATGGGCGGCGGGGCGATGAGGGCGGCGGCGAAGGTGGCGGGGATCAAGGTGGGCAACGGCGGCGTCCGCAGTATTAAGTCGGAGCAGCACGCTGTCTTCTCCTCCACCCGACGGACGGCATCCCCTCTTCCTCCGGTAGCGGATGACGGTAAGCAGTTGGCGTCGCAGCCACATGGTGAGGCGGAGATGAACGGCTGGGTGTTCGCTTGCGGGGAGGAGACGGCGTTTACTGACGGTGATTTGTCGCCCAAGGCTGTCCTGTATGGGTTGCCGACTTTTGAAGAAGCCAAAGAGGCTACTACTGAACTTGCATTGGCGCTTGACTCGTATGTTTTCAATTATGAATGAAAAAAGGCTTGATCTTTATTTGTGTATTGTTATTCAATGGCTTGCGTTTCTAAGTACTGATCATAGTCGAAATTTGATCAAGTTTATAAAATTTATCATTAGTGTTTTGTGAGAAGCGATTGGTTGTAAGATGAATACAAAGCTAGATCAACAGATCTTGAATTCTGTTATCAGTTCTTGTTAATATCATCATTGTGAAAATAAAACGTTGTGATAAGTAATTCTTTTGGTAGAGTTATGCAAAATGGAAAATAGTACTTTGGATTCTAATATGTTGCTACATGGTGTTACACATTCAGTGCTTATATGTCGCCACTCAAGTCGGCTGGACTTGATGGTGAAATTGGTGCCCGATCGCTCATTGATAACTCGAGCTCTACATGCATTGCACCTACAGTGCCAATCAGTGCTATTCAGGCCTTCAGGCTTCTATGTGAAAACAAAGCAGCCCAGGTTTTTAGCCTACTTTACATAAATGTTGAATATTAGTTGAAGTGTTTTGACCTTCTTTCTTGACAGGGACATGAAGTAGCTCCCTTTTCTTCTATTATTCTGTATCTGTAAAGCTATTTGTGTAATGAAATTTTTATTATTAGAATTTGTTACCAAAAAACTGTAATTGGAGAGAAATAATTCTGACATGAAAAGATTAGCTACCCAATTAACCTTTGTTGTCTTGTGAAGATTTTTGGTTCCACATAATATGTGATTTACTTAAGTGAATCTCAATTGTTTTCAGAATGTGGTGGCTTCACTGGCCAGTGATCCAATTGTGTTTAAGGCTATTGCAAGCAACCAGGCGGTTCAGAACTTTATTCAATCACAAAGGACCTGTAAGACTCTTATAGACCCCTCATGTTTTAGTGTAACGAACGCAGTTTTCTAATCGAGCACCCTAATTTATTTTGTTATTTGAATTTTTAATGCAGGTTTTGCCAACACAGACGAGAAATCATTTGTAGATATCTCTGATACTGCATCTGAGAGTGGAGAAACCAAGCCAGTTACTGCATTATCGGATATTGTTCAAAAGCTCAAATTTACGGTGGTGTACATGATGAGCAACATGTCTGATTACTTTCAGAACTTTTTCGGAGGTCCTGCAGTCGAAAAGTTGTTTCCAAGTTCAGATAGGAATACTAGTGCTGAGGCTGCTATGGAAACATCTTTTGTGGGGTTGGCTATCATGGCAATCATGGTGATTGTTGTGAAGCGTGATTAACTGGAAGTTTGGTGCTGGGGTCTCTGTAAATTTTGTCTGAGGCTGCGCCAAGAGTTGTTTCTTTTTCTTGTTTCGCTTGAAAACCAAGAATCGTTTCTATTTTGTCGATTGCATGTTTCGTTTCTGATTTAGTTCTATGACTAGTTATGAGGTTTTTGTTCTTGGACTTGCTCTCTTGGAATATACTTGTGGCTGTTTTATACCTTTTCATGTCATCCTTCTGTGGATTAGATTTACAGTAGCGAGTGTGCTTATCAATGTTGAGTTCACATAAAAGAAAAGAACTATACCCAATGGGTATGGTCATTGACTCTGAATAAAAAAATGTCCACCTTCTAGTATAAAAATTTAACAAAAATACGATGAAATAAAATAGTGCACTGGTGGTAATTTATTAACAATTGACCAAGTATCAAGTTGTATATAAATAAAATTGATACAGGCCACAGTCCTGACTAATCCTGTTAATAAAA